CTTTAGCCTGTGCGGCGGGTGGGCTGTGTTAGGGTGCGGGGTGGGGGTAGAGCACAGCCCCCCCGTAGCACAGTGGGGATGAGCTGGGCCAGGGGTGCCCCAGCAGCCCCCCCGGGGGCTCCATGAGCCCAGCGGTGTGTGACGAGCCCGCAGGGCCTCTGCAGCTCGGGACGCCTGCTACTGTGTCCCCCCCTCGGGATGTGCCCCACCCGCCGTGGGGGATGTCCCCGCTCGTCGCGGCTTTATCCTGGAGGGACTCGCCGTTGGTAATCCTCTCCCAGGGTTCCTTATCCCGGGAGCATCCGGGGGCTCCCCTCGGGATGCCCCACCCGCCGTGGGGGATGTCCCCGCTCGTCGCGGCTTTATCCTGGAGGGACTCGCCGTTGGTAATCCTCTCCCAGGGTTCCTTATCCCGGGAGCATCCGGGGGCTCCCCTCGGGCTGCTGCGAGTGGTGCATCCTCCCCAAGGTCTTCTGCAGCTCCGGGGGGGCTGGACCAGGCGTGGTGGTTCACGGGTGGTTTTCTCATCTCGTGGCACGGCGACTCTTGGAGGGATGGATTCACCCAGGGGGAGCAATACCCCCCAAAACCAGCAGAGCTTCCTTTTCCCTGCGTCTTTTTGTGCAAAAGTAGATACTCCTGAGAGGGTTCTGAAAAATCAGCAGGTTTGGCCACCTCAAGCTTTCCTCGTTACAGCTCTTTTTGTAATTTCAAGGGAAGAGCATTTATGGAGGCCTAAAAACACCAGCCTGGAAAAAATCGAGTGCCTGCATCCCTAAAAGCAGAAGTTTTAAAAATAAATTCCTGCCTTGCCTCTGGCAGATTAATCGGGCAGAGCATGCTCCAGGGGTGTAATCCGGGCAGCAAATTGCTGAAAATCCTTGGAGTGAACAGGCAGAGATTTCCAGAGACAAATTTCTCATTTTCTTGGGCTAAAAATAGATGCTATATATATATATATATCCTCTGGCAGATTAATCGGGCAGAGCATGCTCCAGGGGTGTAATCCGGGCAGCAAATTGCTGAAAATCCTTGGAGTGAACAGGCAGAGATTTCCAGAGACAAATTTCTCATTTTCTTGGGCTAAAAATAGATGCTATATATATATATATATTTGTTTTTAAAATGGAAGAAAAGGTGGTGGGTGAGTTGGCTCCCAGCATCCTCCTGGGTGTAAGGGGGTGCCCAGGCTGCTGCGTGCCCGGCCAAAACCTTTATCGACAGCCAGGCTGTTTCCTGAAGAGCTGCATTAGCTTGCACAAGTGCTTTTAAATTTATTTATTTATTTGAGACTAAAAGGCTGAAAAACACCGGGTTTTGGACGCCTTGCAGGGTGTAGTGTTACCTTGTGCCGCCTCCTTTGGCTACGGTTTGTGTAAAAGGCAGCTTTCAAGAGCAAAGAGTGGTCCAAAAAATCTGCCTGTGCTTCGAAATGAAATGTGGTTGTCTGCCAGGAGGGGGGAGGGAAAAAATAATGCTGATGATAAATGTTTTGCCCTTTCCTGGGTCAACAGGACTGAGGGCAGTGCCAAGCTTGCAGGAGTAAATCCATGAGGAAATCTGCATGTAATTAACAGAAGTTTTTTAACTTCTATATCAAGATCAATTAATGATTTTTGAGGATCTGCGTTATGCTACTGAACCCTGTCGGTGAGACTTGGTTAGAGTTGTTTTTTGGCAGCGAGTTGTCCAGCATCTCTGAATTTTTTATTTTGTTCCCTGAACGATGCAGTACTAGAGTCTGCTTTTTGCAGGTGTTTTTGCTGAGTGGCTCATGTGAACCAGCTGTTCCTGCCCAAAAAAATCAAGACACCTGAGTCATGGAGCAGATGGGGGGCTTGCTCCAGGCTACGAACTCGTGAGGAACATGCCCAAACCCTATGTTGCCATTTCAGGAGTGTGTTTCCTTCTGTCCCTGCTTTGTGCAGTGGAGGATTCATCCCCCTGGGTCTAGCAGGGGCTTGGGAATTTGGTACTCACCAGCTCCTCCTGTTGGCAGCTGGGCTTCCAGACCCCCAAATCCGGCTTTCCCCTCTTGGAGCAGTGTGATCCTCACCCTGTGTTTTAGATTAGGGCCTGGAGGGGCCCTGTCACTTGAGCACAGGGGGCTGCAGTCTCTGAAGCCCTGGTTGAGCTTGGGGCCAGTGTTTCATTTCAGCACGGTGTCAGGGGCTCTTGGCTGTTTTTCAGGGGCAACACTAGGGTGGAGGAAGCCTGCGAGATGTACACCAGGGCTGCCAACATGTTCAAGATCGCCAAAAACTGGAGTGGTGAGTACAGCTCCCACCTTAGGGAGGGATGTGTAGAGGGTGGATGATGTCAGGGTGACCCACCAGTGTCTGAGCCTCTCCATGTGTGAAGATTTACATCCTGGGGGCAGGGGGGTTTCCATTGGGATGATCCCCGTGGTGATTCCTGCTCCACCCTGCGATGATTAAATATTGGCAGAGTGGGCAAGGGGGGGTGACCTGAGTGTTCCTGATGTTAAATCAGCTGGGGTACAGCTTAAAATGAAAGCTGCTCAGTCCGCAGGGGAGCTTTTGAAAGGGGCACTGCCCTGGGTGCACGCATCAGGGAGGAAATACCTTGAGGTGGGACATCAAATCCAGTGGGTTTCAAGCTCCGAAGGGTCCCCCTCACTGATCCAGTAGATGCAGGTCACGGCCAGCAGCGAGGATGAGCATGCAGGCACCAACAGTTTGGGGTTATTGCACACCCCCAACCCCTCTACTTCTCTTGCAGCCGCAGGGAATGCATTTTGCCAGGCAGCCAAGCTGCACATGCAGCTGCAGAGCAAACATGATTCGGCCACCAGCTTCGTGGATGCCGGGAACGCCTACAAAAAAGCTGATCCCCAAGGTGAGGGGAATGAAGTGTGGGGCATGGGCCCATGCTGCAGTGTGTGGTTGTGAAGAGCTGCCCCTCCGTAGTCTGAGGTCTGGATTGTAGTGGGATCCCTGCCCTGAGCCCCAGCCCTGCTCCCAGGGGGTTTTCCTGGGTAGAGGAGAGGTGGGAGGAGAACAAACCAACCTTTGACAGGGTAAGGGTACAAGGCCTGGATTATTCAAGTCTGGTCCTGAATAGCAGGGTTATAATATTCTAGCAGACCCTCAGTTCCCCTACTCCTAGTGGAGCGTTTGAAATTACACCAACCAACCAACCCACCAGCGTTACCTCTGCTTTCCTGTGCTGGGGACAGAACAAACTACCTCAAGATGAATAATGCTGTTTGACAACTGTAATCCCCAAAACTTCCTAGCAGATGGCAGCCCCTGTGTGTTCATGAGGTCAGTATGTTGCATTTTGCTCTGTTTGAGGATGCAGCCTGACAAACCCCAGGGTACAAGTTATCTCTATTTTGCCTTCCAGTGTGGGTTGGGGTGTTTGGGCTGTGTATCGGGATTTGATCCACAGATACAAAAGCGTGGAGATGTGATGTCTGTAGATCTTAACAGTTGAAACTGTTGTATTTGTCATTCTATGTAGATGTAAATGTGCGAGTAGGTACTTACTTGAGAAGCTGGTGTGTGGTCTGATGAAAAGTAATCATATGGAGATCTGATTTTTGAAGGGGGGAGGTCTTGGGCTGGGAATTCTGATGTGCAGGCTGACTTTGTTGTTTTTCCTGAACACTCATGCTGCAGAGGCCATCAACTGCTTAAATGCAGCTATCGATATCTACACGGACATGGTAAGAGGCTGCGCGGGCAGCTCTTGGGCTGCTGCGGCCTGGGGGAGGCTGAGCGTGCTGGGCAGGGGGGCAGCTCCACCTCAGCTCCACCTTCTGCCTCCTCCAGGGCCGGTTCACCATTGCTGCCAAGCACCACATCACCATCGCTGAGATCTATGAGGCCGAGTTGGTGGACATTGAGAAGGTAGGGGTGCGATGGTGGAAGTCACTCAGAGCTTGGCCTGAGGGTTAGCAGGGGGAGCGATGGTTTTCCCAGTGCGCGTGTCTCATGGGGCCATCCTGACTCTTTGGTGTACCCGTCAGCTGAGCAGAAATGCCCAGGTGAGAAGCTTTCCGGGCTGAAGTGGTGTTTCACACCTGAAAAGATCTTTGTGGGGCAGTTTTGTAGCTGTTTTCTGATGTTCCCGAAGGATGCTGCCATTCTTTTAGCTCACAGTTCAACACCAACCCTCTCTCATTACCTCTCTCATAACCGAGGGCCCTGAGCAGGAATCCTGTCCCAAAGCCACTCAACCAGCTGCAAATCTGCTGCTTGAAGCATACAGAACAAAAAATTATGGTTTCTAGATATTACTTTCTAGACAATAATTTACTTCTCTATTCATTACTTCAGTGTTGCCTCCTCATATGCAGCCCCACTTAAATCCATCCTTGGTATGTCAGGGCTGTTCTCTTAAGCGATTTATTCTCTTGTGACAAACCAGCAGAAGCTGTGTCGAGCTGTGGTTTGTGTGTTTGTAGTCATGACCTGGAGAGTGGTGTCACTGGTCTGAAACCTACTCTGGAGCTGGGAACTCCACGAGTTCTCAGTCAGGTTTCCAAGGGCAGCCTTGTGTGTGGAGCCTAGCAGGAACCCCACAGTGTGCTGTGCTGCTGCTCCCTTTATGCCCAGGATGGAAAAGCTTTAGTGAACATGATCACTGGACACTGCTCTGACCACAAATGGAACTTCTGATGTGGCACTCAGGCACACTCTT